CACACACAAAAGTTACGTTCTCCCCCTGTAGGAGTCTGTTCGGCACGCTATGCCTCCCGTTCTCCCTGGGCGCCGCCTTCACCATCACGCCGGCTGTGATGATCCCCGTGGACTACTTCAACAAGCACCAGACTCTGGCCATGGGCGTGGTCGCCGCCGGCTCCAGTGTGGGCACCGTCGTGTTGGCGCCCGTTATGCAGGTTTGTTATTATGATTATAATATTAATTTTGAAAATAATCAAGTAAGGGATAATGATAGTAATAGTGATAATGATAATAATCTTATTATAATGGAGCTAAGCCCATTTGTGTCTTCAGTATACACTTTTTACACAGGTCCCCATAAAATCTACAAAAATATGATTCAGAAAAGAATTGTCCCAAAGGATTACGTGAAACCTTTTCAAAGTTCGGAAACTACATTTTGATTTCTTAGATTTGATGGTTTTTTCCTGTAAATCGAAGCTCTCATATGTTTTAACTCTGCCATTAGCCGTTTCATATTTTACTGGGGACTACTGCCGTTTCATATTGTGCTTCTTCGTGCGTGTAAGACAGCTGCTTCTTCTACTCCCAGAACTAGAATCTCAATATCCAACTCTATCTGGATGTGTTTCACAGTGTCGATGGATACTTCGGGCCGAACTTAATTGGGTTGACTTTTTCTAGATACGTGATATAGTCATGTCCCCAACACGCTGTGTTCGTTTAGATTCGCAAAATGTTTACTTCGTTGTATTGACGTTTTCAAAATTTTGGCACCTATTTGTTGCGTAGGTTTTTTTTAGATCAAGACGCTAGATCTAGATCTCTCCATACCCTAGATGTATAGTTTGGAGTACAGAATTCAAGACTGATTTAGAGTAGTTTGCATGACTGAAGTGCCGTTTGTGCTTTGTGACTGAAGGGTCATAGGTTTGAACCCTGCCATGGGGCCGAAATTATATCCTTGGTAGAGGTATGTTGTATGACTTTTCTTCACTTCATCGAAGTGGGAATGGGTACCCGGCGGTATGCGGGAAATATGTCTAGATCATGAACTTGGTGTCTTGTAATAATAATAATAATAATAATCATAATAATCATAATAATAATAATAATAATAATAATAATAATAATAAT